CACTGCGCCACCAGGGAAGCTCCCCTCCATTGATATTTGAATGAATATTTTACCCATGCGTGATGTTGTAACATCGTATGTTGGTCATTTGGAAGATATTGCTCTACTGAGTTACACAGATGTCCCAAATGTTGACACATTTCATTATACAAAAATTTTAGATTGCATTCATTAATATTAACACCAGTCTTATCGGAGAAGTCCAACTCTTAGGTATTCATCATACTTTCAGTGATAAATTCAAGTTTTCCCCCAAAACTGAGTTTTCAAGTGAACATTTGAATGTTACCATTGGCAATAAATACTGTTCATTGTTTTCCTTGGGGTGATGGTTTCGCTATGTTCATTTTAGAAAAAATGACTGCCAGATAGCCAGTAGTTTGTCAGTCACTCTTTCAAATAAAATTGGTGTTGAATGAGGGAAAAGCAGCTAGTTCAGGTCACAACTAAGAGTCCTACAAAGTGCTTTTCCTCAAGACAGCTGCTGTACTTTCTTCGGATGCAGTAGAGGTGCTTTATATATACCTCACATTTCATCACACACAGCATCATAAAGACATATACACAAGAATCAAGATATAATCAAAGTCTTTAATAAATGAGTGCTTTATCAAGGATGGTCTTAAATTGTTTTTTGTATACTTGTTTTCATTTAATTGCAAGTCATGGTATGGAATATATATTGACAACTAGTACAGTTTTGTGCCCCTGCCTTGGTTCACGCTAAGGCGTCAGCAGTTTCACCCACCATGGGTTTTTTGTTGTTGTTTTTACCATCAGTGCAAATGTCAACACAGTAAAAAAGGCAAATAACATTTTAGTATCGTTTTGAAGATAGTGTTGACCTAAGCATCTCCCTAAAAAGTGTTTCAGGGACCCCTGGGGATCTGTGGGCCATACTTTTGAGTAAGGACTGCTCTTTTAGATTAATAATGTAGTTTTGAATATTGGTTCATACTACTTTTTTTGGACATATGTATTTCCTATTTTATCTTGTCAGTTTTTTCATCCATTTTTATTTACGCATTTCTCTTTTTTATTGATAGGTGTAAGAGCTTTTTATACATATTTAATGTTTGTTGCAAAACCTCTCCTCACTCCCATTTGTTACTTGCTTTTAGTATCTACTATAAAGGTTTTGGAATTTAGAGGTTAAATTTTTTTATGTATTCTCTCTCTCTTTTTAAAGATTTCTTCCTTTTGAATCAGGTTTATTTTCTCCTCTTGTTTAGGCTCTCTTCATTCCAAGAGTATATAAATATGTTCACCTATATTTTCTTTTAGCCCTTTTATTATTTTAGTCATCTGTTTGGAACTCATTAGGCGTTAGTTTTGAGGCAGAGATCTAACTTTTCTTTCCAAATGTTTGCCTTTTATTCTACCTTTTACCCATATCATCTGCTAAATTTTTATTTATATTTCTGTTTATTTCTAGATGCTGATAATATTTTAACTTTTGAAACTATGACATTTTATGTTGTGTTGAGGGCTGACTTTCAATCATTTTGAACAGAACTAAAACTCATAGAAAAGTATTGTCTTTTTATTTTTTAAAAATTCAAGCATATGAGGGACCCAAATTTTTAAAACAGTTTATTTTGGAGAAACCAGAAATTACAGTGCACTATTATAACCAAGTGCACTCTGCATTCATGTCAGCAAAGAGTACTTAAAGAAAAATGCAGTATTTAATTGGCTTCTACAGTCCTGTTTGGGCTGGTTATCTCAATTGGTTACGTTGAAACTAGTGATAACGAAGCCAAGATCAAAGGTTTGCTTTATTGGACAGTTAATTTTACAACAGGAGAAACACTTCCATCTTACTTCTTATGACTTAGATCTTGACTTTTTCAGAGAAAGCATGGGTATCTTAGTAGACATTATTATGACTTCTACAGAAAATATAAAAAATAACAACTCATGTTCTAATTTTTAAAGGTGCCTTGAGTGTCACTTTGTGTTTGAAGGATCTCACCTTTCAACATCCTGAAGGTGATGATGTGGTCACTTATTTGTTTTTTTATTTTTTTGATTTACTCTTTAGCAAACTACTAATTATTTTAGTTAGAGAAAGTAACTTAGTTTTTAAGATGACCTGACATTTTGAATAGTCATCTTGGAACTAGATTTGGCGTTTCTTTATGCCAATGGCAATATTTAATTTTAAGCATTTATAATTTGCATTTCAATTAACCTTTTCTTAATTTCCCAATTTGGCACATGTAAACTCATTTAAATTATGGAAGAAATCTGTGAGGTCCTTTTTAACTAACTGTGCCTAATGAAGATGGTCTTTTGATTTTTGAGGGTCTCAAGAAGGAAGACATAGAATACTAGTCATCAAGGTATCTAATTAAAGTTTCATAGTGGTATGAGTTTATTAAGGTTATGTAGTCCACACACTGTTGTATTTTAGGCTATGCAACATCAGTATTTAAGACCTCTTCAAGATACAAAATTGAAAAGGCAAAACCTTTGGGACTTCCTTAGCGATCAGGTGGTTAAGATGCTGTGCTTCCACTGCAGGGGGCACAGGTTCGATCCCTGGTCAGGGAACTAGGATCACGCATACTCTGCTGTGTGGCCAAAAAAAAAAGAAAAAAAGAAAAGGCAAAACCTGTATGTTGGAAGCTAACAATTATCCAGTCATTAAAAATAATAGGATTTAACAAAATAAATAAGCATTATTATACTGTATTTCTCCACTTTTCCCTCTAACCTTGTTTTCCAAATGGAACTCAAAATGTGACAGCTCTTGTTTAAAAGAACTGAAAGAAACCCCAAGCGATACTAGAAATAGAACATTGCCATCCTGCCCTTCCCTCTTCCCGTAAGGGACAAGAGCCTGGGAATGGCCCTGCCTAGTGGATGGTGTCCTTTCCTCCAGAGATGATGTTGGGAAAAGGGGATGGAGTGTGCCTGCCTTTCACAATATATTCTAGGCCCCTTCTTTGATGACGTATATAGCATGAGTCCACTGGCACCTTTTGACTTTTTCTTGCCTGAACGTGAATTAGGCTTCCTTTCCTGTCATTTTGAACATGTTTTATGTTTTTCGACATTATTTTAGTGTATAATATTTTGATATTTAAGAAATTCTACCCCTTTTTTTGACTTGAACTCTCTCTTTGCTTTGTGTTGTTTCTACTCCATTTGTGAAGCATCTGACGAAAGAAGTTCATCCGTGGAATATAGCCTTTTTGTTGTAATGTCATTATTTTAAATGCGAGTGCATGTCATACATTCATTATTAATACCTTTGCCAGAACAGGGCTGAAAGTCATCAGGAGGGATTTATTCACACTATGAGAGTACTTGCTATAGGTGTCGGGTTATGTATTTCAGGTAGCTTTTTATGTAAATTTTAAATAAATGTTCATTTTTTCTAACTTGCAACATCGTCTCCTCCGTCCTAGGGTTGGACTGGTCTGAAGAGAGTGGAGAAGAACTGGAGGACTCAGAGCAGGCCTCGCCGTACCAGGTTGCCTGGTCCATCCGAGAGACCCTCAGATACGAAAGACACACGTGAGTCTTCCTTTTCTTTTTATTCTTTTTTTTTTTTTCGGTACACGGGCCTCTCACTGTTCTGGCCTCTCCCGTTGCGGAGCACAGGCTCCAGACGCGCAGGCTCAGTGGCCATGGCTCACGGGCCTAGCCACTCCACGGCATGTGGGATCTTCCCGGACCAGGGCACGAACCTGTGTCCCCTGCATCGGCAGGCGGACTCTCAACCACTGCGCCACCAGGGGAGCCCTCTTTTTATTCTTAAATTTCCACTGTAGTAGATTGATTTTTCCTATATATGCTAATTTCATTTTATTTTTATTTTTTAAATAAATTTATTTATTTTTGGCTGCGTTGGGTCTCCGTTGCTGTGTGTGGGCTTTCTCTAGTTGCAGCGAGTGGGGCCTAGTCTTCATTCTGGTGTGAGGGCTTCTTACTGCGGTGGCTTCTCTTGTTGCGGAGCATGGGCTCTAGGCATGCGGGCTCAGTAGTTGTGGCTCACGGGCTCTAGAGCACAGGCTCAGTAGTTGTGGCACACGGGCTTAGTTGCTCCGCGGCATGTGGGATCTTCCCAGACCAGGGCTCGAACCCGTGTCCCCTGCATTGGCAGGCGGATTCTTAACCACTGCGCCACCAGGGAAGCCCTCATTTTATTTTTTAAAGATAAATTTATTTATTTATGGCTGCGTTGGGTCTTCTTTGCTGCGCGAGGACTTACTCTAGTTGTGGCAAGTGAGGGCTACTCTTCATTGCGGTGCACGGGCTTCTCATTGCGGTGGCTTCTCTTGTTGCAGAGCACGGGCTTCAGTAGTTGTGGTGCGAGGGCTTTAGTAGTTGTGGCTCGTGGGCTCAAGAGCACAGGCTCATTATTTGTGACGCACGGGCTTAGTTCCTCCACGGCATGTGGGATCTTCCTGGACCAGGGCTCGAACCTGTGTCCCCTGCATTGGCAGGCAGACTCTTAACCACTGTGCCACCAGAGATATCCCTATCCATTCTCTGATATTTCTAATGCGCTGAATATTTCTATGTTAAAATATTTTCTTGAAATAATCTCGTTAGAGGTTCTCGATACCTACCTTATCAGAAAGCTGTAGGTTAATGCCCAGCCCCTTCAGTGGTAAGAAGAAGACTAGTTCTCTTTCAGGGGACTGCCTCAGCATCATAGGTATATGCTTGGTGCGGTGTGACAGGACTGAGATAGATCCTTCTCTGTGGGGCTAAAAGATGACTCACAGACTCAGCTAATTATTATTTTCGTTTAAGTACTGTGGTTTGAATAGGTGTTCAGCAAGACAGAGGGGAGACAATCTGCGCCCAGGCCGACTCCTAGAATTTCACAGTATCATAGTATGCATATACATTCTAAGGTCCGGTTTCTGAATTTATAGGCTTAAAAATGTGATTTGTTAGTACACCCAGAAATGATTAGGCTTAGGGAGCCGATTCACTAGAGGCTAATGTATAAGCCAAAATGACAGTTTTTAGTAGGAAGTATCATCGTTAAGTAGTACAGATGTTCACTAAGCAAAACTATGTGGGAAGCAAATTATAGTCAGAAGCTTATTTGGACGTGGAATTAGAGCAAGGAGAGTTAGCTGGATTTATTAATGGTCAGTGTCATTAAACTATAACAGCCTGATGCCTCCATTTCCACTCTTGGGCTTTATATCCTGTATAGTTGTCCCTGTCTCCCCTGTCTCCTAGTTACTATTGGAAAATGCTATATATTTTTTTTCTCTCTCTGAGATTCCATTTTATATGTCATTTAAGACTGTTTCCTCACCATTAGCATTTCTTGTTTTCAGACAGAAGTACAATTGAGCTTAAGCTTTCTAAGTTATAGATAATATCAACTGTGCTTCCTAAGGTTGATAATTCAAATCAGCTTAGCTTGACTTGGGATATTTTGGGTTAATTTTCCAAATGCTATAAATAGATAACATAACTAAATGCTCGGCACAATACCTGGTTCATGGGAAATGATAAATGATAGCTAAGAATCCTATTTTAATTCTGAAAATTACCTGAACATTAGTATTGGGAGTATTTGCCCTTGATTAGGAGCCATGTATATTCCATTTCTGCCTTCTAGTGCAGTTCTCAGAATATTTCTTTTGCTGTTACAGACTTGTGACCATCAGCTTTGTCTTCATCTCTGTAGCATTTTACTTTCTTGGCCAGTTTGGCTAACTTGCTTCTTCTTTGACTGGCTCTTCTTTTCCTTCAGTATATATTTCTCCTTTTTACAAGCAATTTTCCTTACTTCCTGCCCAGCTGTCCCTTTAATCTTTTCCTCTTCACTCATTTGTTTATTCACTTGTTCAGCATATTCTTGTGGAACTAGTATTATGCTTCAGGCATGGGGCACTACATTCTTTTCCTTGGGTGAAGCTGGGATTGCGTTGGTTTACCATCCCTTCTGTGCCTGCAGCTGCACATCTGCATCTGCCACTGTGCTCTCTCACAGGAACCTCTGTCCTTTTTTTTTAGACTACCTATAGAACTACTTTATTCCAGCTTCTTGTTGTGCTTCAGTGTAGTAGAAAATGGAGAGCTGTAGAAAATTGGCCCTACCTAGCCTGTCCATTATATCTTCAAGAAGTTTTGGCCATGTGAAATTTCTCAAGGTTTCGCCATTTAAAATTGCTCAGTGAGTTCATTGTGTTTTGGGGGAAAAAAAGGCACAGTGGCGTGATCGCTACATTCCCCCTGAAGAACCTTTTCATGAGCTTTCTTCCTAAACCAAAATTGTACTTAAAGAAATTTGGGGAGAAAATTTGGACTTGTTTTGGCAGAGGTTCCTTGGTTACTTAGTTTAGTTGTAGATGCATATGCCAAAGTGGAGCTCTTAAGATTTTACTTAGGTCTCTCAGTAGCAGAAATAAGTTGGTATCTTAAATGTAGTATTAAGGAACAGTAAGTACTGCCAGTAACTGCTTCCCTTTTCACATTCCTAATGATGTCTTTGATAGAATAAAGTTCTTAATTTCAATGGGTACAGTTTATTAGTTTTTTCCTGTATGGTTAATTTGTGACCTGTTTAAGAAATCACTGCTTACCCCAGGGTCATGAAGCTATTTTCTCATATTATCTTCTAGAAGCTTTATTGTTTCACTGACAATCTTTCTGGAATTTATTTTTGTATATTTTATATATGATGTGAGTTAGGGCCAAGGATCTTCTTTTTTTTTTTTTCTTTTTCCATATGGCTTCTCTATTTAAGCAGCACTATTTATTGAACACTTATTTTTCATTGCATTGGAAGCCTTGACATAAATGTGTATGTCTGTTTGTGCATTTTCTAATCTCTTCCATTGGCCTATTTGTCCTTGTGCAAATAACTTCAAAGTTTTAATTAAAATAGCTTCAAATAGGGATTTCCCTGGTGGCGCAGTGGTTAAGAATCCGCCTGCCAATGCAGGGGACACGGGTTCAAACCCTGGTCTGCGAATATCCCACATGCCACGGAGCAACTAAGCCTGTGCACCATAACTGCTGAGCCTGTGCTCTAGAGCCCGCTGAGCCACAACTACTGAAGCCGAGCGCCTAGAGCCTGTGCTCCGCAACAAGAGAAGCCACAGCAATGAGAAGCCCGCGCACTGCAACGAAGAGTAGCCCCCACTCGCCACAGCTAGAGAAAACCCACGCACAGCAACAAAGACCCAACACAGCCAAAAAATAAATTAATAAATATAAAAAAATAGCTTCAAATAGATTTTAATCTTTTTTTTTTTTTTTTTTTTTTTTTT